AGTTCCCAGAGGTGTTTAGCACTTGTTGGCCCCTTTGCCTTCACTCTGCGGTCCAGCTCACCCCAAACCATCTCGACTGGGTTCAGGTCCGGTGACTGTGGAGGCCAGGTCATCTGCCGCAGCACTCCATCACTCTCCTTCTTGGTCAAATAGCCCTTACACAGCCTGGAGGTGTGTTTGGGGTCATTGTCCTGTTGAAAAATAAATGATCGTCCAACTAAACGCAAACCGGATGGGATGGCATGTCGCTGCAGGATGCTGTGGTAGCCATGCTGGTTCAGTGTGCCTTCAATTTTGAATAAATCCCCAACAGTGTCACCAGCAAAACACCCCCACACCATCACACCTCCTCCTCCATGCTTCACAGTGGGAACCAGGCATGTGGAATCCATCCGTTCACCTTTTCTGCGTCTCACAAAGACACGGCGGTTGGAACCAAAGATCTCAAATTTGGACTCATCAGACCAAAGCACAGATTTCCACTGGTCTAATGTCCATTCCTTGTGTTTCTTGGCCCAAACAAATCTCTTCTGCTTGTTGCCTCTCCTTAGCAGTGGTTTCCTAGCAGCTATTTGACCATGAAGGCCTGATTGGCGCAGTCTCCTCTTAACAGTTGTTCTAGAGATGGGTCTGCTGCTAGAACTCTGTGTGGCATTCATCTGGTCTCTGATCTGAGCTGCTGTTAACTTGCCATTTCTGAGGCTGGTGACTCGGATGAACTTATCCTCAGAAGCAGAGGTGACTCTTGGTCTCCCTTTCCTGGGTCGGTCCTCATGTGTGCCAGTTTCGTTGTAGCGCTTGATGGTTTTTGCGACTCCACTTGGGGACACATTTAAAGTTTTTGCAATTTTCCGGACTGACTGACCTTCATTTCTTAAAGTAATGATGGCCACTCGTTTTTCTTTAGTTAGCTGATTGGTTCTTGCCATAATATGAATTTTAACAGTTGTCCAATAGGGCTGTCGGCTGTGTATTAACCTGACTTCTGCACAACACAACTGATGGTCCCAACCCCATTGATAAAGCAAGAAATTCCACTAATTAACCCTGATAAGGCACACCTGTGAAGTGGAAACCATTTCAGGTGACTACCACTTGAAGCTCATCGACAGAATGCCAAGAGTGTGCAAAGCAGTAATCAGAGCAAAGGGTGGCAATTTTGAAGAAACTAGAATATAAAACATGTTTTCAGTTATTTCACCTTTTTTTGTTAAGTACATAACTCCACATGTGTTCATTCATAGTTTTGATGCCTTCAGTGAGAATCTACAATGTAAATAGTCATGAAAATAAAGAAAACGCATTGAATGAGAAGGTGTGTCCAAACTTTTGGCCTGTACTGTATATATATATATATGTATATATATATGTGTGTGTACATATATATATATATATATATATATATATATGTATATATACGTATATATATATATGTATGTATGTATATGTATATATAAATCGGCACCGCATTTGCGAGGCCCCTACAAGAGACCCCTGCTTGAACAACTGCAGATTGAGCAGAAAGACTATATGAAACCATAGATATCATAGATCAATCTGCAGGGAAAAAGGAGAGAATCAAGTCTTGATTGAGTGGTTGAGAAACCAGTGGTGCCAGGTGATCAGGTGTACATCAAAGTCTTCCCAAGAAAGTGGCACGAGCCAAGGCGAGAGGGACCCTACATGGTAGTGCAAGCAACTCCCACAGCGGTCCAGGTCGAAGGAAGCACAATGTAGTATTACCTGAATCACTGCACGAAAGTTCAAGGAAACAAGGGAGGTATTGAGTTAAAAAACAATGATAAACAAAATGACTCTGTCGTGTGTTCTGGAGGTAATGTGCATTTTGATGTGGGTGCCAACAGAAGCAGGAAAATGGGAGGTGGAGAGTCCAGTTGCGACACCAAAGGCCTCGGAGACCAGAGGAACGACAGAGATTCGGCTGCATGAGGGAGGAGCCAAAGCCTATGAATCAGATGAGTATGATGCAAATGCACACACTCCATCCCAGGCAAGCCTGAATCTCATGCCAACACGCTCAGCTAAGTCCAAACATATAGACACTCCATTCAGCTTAATGTATGCCAAAAAAACGTGCTAAAAGGGCATGGCACACTATGTGGAAATGGCATGCAAAAGTGACTATCTCAGTTGAAATAGGCGAGGGACAATTAAAGGCTCTCTAAGTCTTCCTAAGCTTGAAAAGTTTTTGTCACATACAGCAAACATCTCCTCACGATCCGCTAGCTACATGTCCCCTGAATATGCTGTGAAAAAGTCCGGTCTCTGTAGGCAGCCCAGGCTCCGCAAATGGCAACAAAAACATTTTGGTCCAGGCTGCACCAACCAGCCAGCGCGAGACCAGAGAAAGTAAGCGCGCACACGTGAATGCAGTGCCCAGAGAGGCAGTTAGAGCTACAGGCTACAATGAGGCTAAAAGGCGAGCTAGCTCCGTTGTGTTTGATAACATTGTTGAATATAACAGAAGTGAAGTGTTTTTGTTGCCATTTGTCCGCAAATCATGTTTATATTTTGAATTTGTCTTTTGGCCTGTTGCGCCACCCACCGCCGTCTACCAGTCACGCAGTCAGTAGAGTCTCAGCATCAGTTACAGTTATGACTGAGCTACAGCAGCACGGCAAGCAGCATTAGCAGTGTCCCGGTACATAGCATTAGCAGTCTTCTCAGCTGTATCCCAGCAGCAGTGTTAGCAGCAGAGAAGCCAGACTTGCTCGAACGTTCCGCTGGACAACCGAAGATCAAGGGCGCGGCGACGCGGCCCTGCCACGGCAGCCGCCTGTGGGCAAACAAGAGTGAAAACATTGAATTTCCCCTCAGGGGGATTAATAAAGTAAATAAACTTAAACTTAACTTAAACAAATCAGTCTCCAGCGTGCCGCTGTCCAGCAACCTCGAATCTGTAGGGGAGGGGGGGCGGACACAACTCGCGGCAGTATTTTGAATTTGAGTGCAGTAACCGTTTGGGCCACATTCTTACATACAGCGCCTTTAATGGGTTCAGCTGACTATTTAATCTGCAATTTCCTATGACCTGTATCCCAAACACACACCATATGAAACTGTACGTGGGCAACTGTGCACTCAATGGGTATGGACTAGTTAAACTATATTTACTATAATCAGCAGAGATATGCCAATGTCACATCTGAAATTCTTAAAGCATTTTGAGTCAATTACATGCAACAAGCACGATGACTCAACAAAACAGACAGATATTGGAATGGCTAACAGTAGACAGGGGAGTCACATGTTTGGCAAATATTGTTGTACTTTCATTTCTAATAACATTGCACCTAATGGTATATTTTCTGTGGGTATGGAAAAGCTCGCAAAGTTGAGGGTGGAACTGAGGGAGAGTGCTGGTAAGGTGTCTTGGAATTGGTTAGACCAAATTTTAAGAAAATGGGGAGCCGTTTTGGCTAAAGCAGGAATCACTGCATTGATAGTTCTAATACTAGTTTCCTTTTTGGCATGCTGCATCATCCCCATGCTGAGGAGGCAGTGCCAGAGGGCTCTAGACAAACAGATGACTCTCGTGACTGGTCTCCAATGGGCTCACAGGTTGAACATGATGACACCCCGGCAATTAGTGCAAATCCACCTTAATCAGAAGGAGGCAGAGAATGGGGAGAGATATCCAGCTTTGTTCCCCATCCCTGCCTACATGGATGATTCTTGTGATCCTCTGGATACAGGAGATATATCATATTGTACTCTCTGATAATCATGAGTTTGTACCCCTGTTTAATTACCTATTGATGATGCTATGTACCAGTAAAATCACTGAATGTAATATTGATGGGTTCACGATGAAGGTCGCCAGCGGGAGGGGCCATAAGAGAGTTTTCCTGTAAGCAGCCGACAGGTTTTTTGCTCTTACACAGTGTGAACCCTTATTTTGTGTGACCTTGTTTTGTGTAGTTTGCTGTGTTTAAACGAATTACCTGTAAAGAATTTAAGTTTTAAGATCCAATGTCTGTGTAGTGCATTGCACTGGAAAAGAATTCCCTTTAGCCTTCTCTATAATATGACCTACCATAATTTCTAAGTTCTCATCTGAAGCATGATATTATGAGAAATTATGAAACACATTTCACTCGAGCACAAGGCTAGACTTGGATCAAGCACTGCCACTTTCTCTATGGCTACAGTTTCAGCAGCACATCTATGGTCAAGGACCAGCAGAATTTTGTGATAAGACAAGTCATCTCTCACGGAACATCAGTGATACAGCCGGGCTCAGCAAGGGGCTTTGCACAGGAAACAGTTGCTGTTGAGAGAAGACCAGGAAATGTAAGACAGGTATTAAGAAGAAACACCTCACTGAAGGCTAGGTCTGGCCACAGTGTATGTCTGCTGACCCTGTAGCAAAGTTCACATTGAGGTAAGAGTGTGTAAACTGAGAGAAATTTAGATGTAAAAAGAAAAAAAATGTTGGTGAGTTGTGTGTTTGTGTCCATATTGGGTCAGTTCATTTTCAATTCACTTAATTATAACAGTCACTTTAGCCTGCTCTGCTAATGGCATATGGAAGTCAAGGACTGCCAAACTGAAACTGTATTTGTCTTTTGTGGGTGCATGATTCATGACATATTAAAATAAAAAATACTATTTTCTGAAGTTGAAAACTTATTATAGCCAACATCAAAATTTGAAGTATACAAGCAAATACTGTAGTGTTGTGGGCAACACTGTAGTGTTGTGGGGTTTCATGAACATTGCAGCCTTAAGGCTCTTAGCAGGGCTTTAGACTTTTAGTGTTGTTTTTCAAACCTTCTACCAATCACATAAACCAGAAGCAAATAACAAATAATTAAATTGCATCAATCATTATTTGATCAAACAAAATGTAAACATAATTTAAAATATATGTAGTCCAACATTTTGCAGTTCCAAAAACATGTATCTAATAATAATAATAAGTAATGTAAATCTAATAACATATCAAATAATATTATTCATATTTAATATTTCACATTTCAAAAATTGTGTCAAACAGAGAATTCCATATGTTTTATCTCAATTAAGAAATCATCATTTTATGTTCCGTATGTTGGGCATTTAGTTTATGTTTGAAAAGGCGTGAATAGAAAGTGAGGTGACCCCAGTGGTGATGGCTCCATGCATTAGTTTATGAGGTCTCTGAGTTGTCTTCTGCAGGTTCAAGAGACTCTTGTGGTCTGTACATAAAGGTGAGGAGGAACAGCGCCACATCATAGGAGCACCAATAGGCCGTGTGTGAGGTTACTGCTGACCAATAGCGGCTCTCCACCAAGCCCTCCCGCAGCTCAAAGTCGATGCGTCTCTCCAGTTCCACTAGAACAGAGAAAAAGACAGAGTATAGTATCCAGCTGCATAAAGTGTCAAAAGAAGTTATCTTCCGTCAGAGTTCTCTGAGCCCTGGTGGACTGTAGTCATATTGTCTTGAGTGCTCACTGCCAGCATATGTGTATCTTTCTGAATGATTCTTAATGGCAATTTAAAGTATGCAAGTTATGTGCAGTCTATTGGTTAGATACATAACAGATATTGCAGCACTATTTCTTTTACAGGGGCATTACCAGTGCTAATATTGACAGCAAACTCTCGCAGGTTGGCAAATGTCTTTTTTTTTTTTAATTCAACCTGTACATATTCTGTATGTGTGCAATATTAAGCCTTACTACATAATAAAACTAAATACAATCTGTGATGGAAAATTATGGTATTTGACCTTTTTAACCTAGTGTGTTCTGCATGTGTTGTATAACGTTACTTGTTTTGATGAAACTGAACTTCTCACCTAATGATATGTGTTGCTCATTTAACCCCTACTGTGATAGCAGCGTTAGATACAGCAGAGGTCTAATGGAAGTAGGTTAAAGGTTACGAGCCAGGGAGGCTCCCACACCAAGTGTCCTTGTTAGCCTCAAGAGATGTTGTGTCTTAGGGATGCTTACTGCAGAAACCACCTGAGTGCCATATTTTGACTATTGACATGCATGTGTTTTGGGAACTATAAAGATAGCATGGCTGAAGAATATCTAGGCACTCACTCACTGACTGACTGTTCATGTGGTTGTATGTGTGTGTGTGACTCCATTCATGAATGCTTATTAAAACTCAAGAAAGACACCCAACGTGTGAATACCTTTTCTTTAAACTGATAATTAAATAGTTGTTTTGCCCTTTCATCAAGGTGGCAGCAGGCTAAGCAAAGTAGTCCAAACATCCCTCTCGGTGTTTTTCAGAGGCTTTCCTAAACTAGCGGCAGTATTCACAAAGGTTACTAATACAAAGAATGTTTTAACTGATGAAATTCTGAAAAAATTCTTAAAAATTTTGATATTTTCTACAAATTTCCCCTTACAGTTATGACTAGATCCTGGTAAAGATAAAAGTTATTTACAGAGCATCTCAGCCCTTGAGAAAGCTCCTAAGGTTTCCTAAGCAGAGGAGAAAGGGGTGGGAAGACAAAGAGGTAGGAGAGATATTCTCTAAAGTTAATGAACCACTACAGATTAGATTATGCAGGGATGACAATCAACAAGACCACTTTGGATTGTATCCAGATTGATTAACTTGAGTAAGAAAAATCACTCACTATTTGACCTTAAAAATCTGTGATTGGTGTTTCTGGAAACACCCTTTTGTTCATTAGCTTAGGTAAGGGAAATTGGTTTCAATCAGATTTTGTGCTAGCTCCCATTAATGTGTAATTTCCATTGTGCATTTATTCTAACATAGTAGTTTTATTTATCAACAGAAAGAAAGCAATACTTCAGTTCATGAAACTACATAGGCTACAGTCTGATATATCAACATCATACTTTTCTAGCTACAGCCTCAGTGGGTGTTGAGGGCTTAGGGGGACATTGAAACTGGACAAGGGACATTTTGAGAAAAAAAGGAACGTGAGAACATAATGAAACTGACTACAGGAAACAGGCAGATTTAATGGGGTATGATATATTTTGACCCTCTGATAGCCAGCACCAAGTTTCTCACTGAAAGTACTTACAAGAGGTACTGTCCATGACAGATGAGGTGGACTGGGACATGGCAGGCTCTACCTCTGTCCTATCCTCCTCTATTTCTTTGTCCTTCACTTCGGTCTCTGCCACTGGTGCTCCTTCCTCCCCTGATGACACATTTTCAACTTCAGAGGCTCCACCCTCAGAATCTATTGGCTCCTCCTCTACTCCACCCACCTGGCCACTGGAACGGGAAAAACGGGAAAACAGGATTCCTCCGATTCCCTTTCCAAGACTGGCAGCACCTGTGGGGCAGTGAGATCTATGTTTATGATTCATTCATTTCACTTAGTAATGCAGAGTAAAATGTGCCAAAAGTTGGGCCAGTACTAATAGTTTTTTTGTTAAATAATATTTTGACATATCACTAGGCCAAGGCTTGGGCCCATGATCGTCCCAAACACGGTAAAATAAGAGTCCCTGCAGATAAATACACTACCTGGCTTGCTCTCTCTGACCCAATCCGTCTCTCTCTCTCTCTCTCTCTCTCTCTCTC